ACAATATTAGGAGAAGACATGCTCATCCTATGAGAATGTAATGTTTAGGGAATAATGACTTACCAAACTAGGTAGCCTCATGGTATATTTATACTAAAAGGATAATATGGAAAGTACAATAATGTTCTAAAATATAATAGGCTATTACACCCCCTCAATCTGTGCAAAAGACATGACGCACAGATTGGATTTTAAAAACTCAAAACGCTGACTAGTGAGATTCTTGGTAAAAATATCAGCTAATTGAATTGTGTAGGAACATACTTAACAACAAGATCACCATGAGCTACCATTTCCCTGACAAAGTGATAATCAATTTTAATATGTTTGCTGCGATCATGCTGTATAGGATTCACTGCTAATATGAGGCAGAAACGTTGTCACAGTAGAGTTGTACTGGTTTAGGCACAAAGAAACCCATGCCAGCAAGAAGAGAGCGAATAAAAAGAGTGTCTTGAACCGTATACGCAACAAGTCGATATTCGGCCTCAGTGGAGGATTTGGACAATGTAGGTTGCTTTTTAGATCGCCATGAAATCAGATTATCTCTCAGAAAATAGCATAACCTGTAGTAGATCTGCAACTATCCGGACATCTAGCCCAATCTACTTCCGAATATGCAATAATAAGAGAGGTGTAACCCCCTTTCCTCAACCATAGACCTTCGGAAATAGTACCCTACAAATATCTGTAAATACGCTTCACAGCCAATAAGTGAGTCGTACGCGGAGCATGCATAAACTGAGATACCAAATGTACAACATAAGTAATGTTCGGTCTGGTAATAGTCAAATATTGTAGAGCACCAACCATGCTTCGGTATTCAGTACCATCAGCCAATTCAAGAGTTTTCCATCTGTCAAGGACAAGGTGGTACGAGATGGAAGAGGTGTACGGACAGGTTCCACTGTATGTAGATGGAAACGACGCAAGAGATCAGAAATGTACTTTTGTTGGGACAAAAAATACCTTTAGTGGTGTGAAGCGTCTGAATACCCAGAAAATAATGAATCTCACCCAAGTCTTTCATAGCAAATGCGTGAGACAGGGTAGAGATAAAAGAAGAAACTATGGATGATCAATTTCCTATGATGAGTATATCGTCAACATATAAAAGAATATATACGGAGCATGAATCACGACGATACACAAACATAGAATAATCAGACTTACTCTGAACAAAGCCATGACTAAGTAAAAAACCACTAGATCTGTGAAACCAAGTTCGGGGAGCTTGTTTAAGCCCATACGAGGCTTTCCGGAGCCGAGAAATATAATGGGAAAAAGAGGGATGAACAAAGCCTTATGGCAAACACATGTACACCTCCTCAGTTATTTAGCCATGTAAAAATGCATGTTTAACATCTAACCGATGAACACTCCAACCAAAAGAAGTAGCAAGAGAAAGTAAAAGATGAACAGTGGTGGGTTTAACCACTGGGCTAAAAGTCTCTGAAAAATCTACCCTAGCCTGTTGTTTAAACCCTTGAGCCACCAACCGAGCCTTATGACGCTCAATAGACCCATCAAAATTATATTTTATTTTATAAATCCACCTGCAACCTACCACATTTTTGCTAGGGTCATACGGTACTAAGTCCCAGATCTTATTAGCAATTAATGCATTAAACTCTTCAGCCATTGCTGCCCGCCATTTTAAATTTTTATTTGCTTATGAAAAACAAGTAGGATCCGGGGGATACTCACTAGCGGTAAGGGAAAAAATATTTTTGGGTTTAAAAATGCCATCCTAAGCCCGAGTGCACATGGGATGAACATTTTTAGCCGGGGAAGGAGAAGGAGAGGATTGGGCCGGCGAGCTGCTGGACTGGGATGGACTGGATGAGGGGCTGGGCGTGAGAGGCGTGGGTGGAGTACTAGGAGCAGAAGTGGAGGAGGATGGACTGGATGGTATAAAGTCATGTTCGGGTGGGGGGACGTGACCTGAGTGGGATCCGCGACAGTATGGGAGGAAATTGGAGATGGGATAGAATCCTGGAGGGCCGAGGATTGTGATAGCATGGGAAGAGCCGGTTGAGGACAAGGAGGTGGATCTAAGGTAACAGTTGGGCGACTAACATTTGTGGTTCGATAGGGAGAGGAAGAAATAGGCATCTCGGATGTATGAACGGGAAATAACAATTCGGCATAGGGAAATTTGTCCTCATGAAAGATAACATCACGACTAATATATACTCTACGAGTAATGGGATCAAGGAAACGATAGCATTTGTAGCCAGAAGCATAACCAAGAAAGACACATCGGATGGATCGAGGTGATAGCTTGTTTGACGAAGTGGCAATTTGATTTGGAAAACACTCACACCCAAAAACCCATAAGAAAGCATAATCCGGTGTTTTATTTAAAAGTTTATGATACAGGCTTAAGCCATGCAAAACTGGAGTAGGTAGCCGATTAATTATGTACGTAGCAGCATAAAGCGCATCAACCCAGAATTGAGGCGGTAGATGCGCCTCAATAAGCATGGTACAAATTAATTCTAAAATATGGCGATGTTTACGTTCTGCTACACCGTTTTGGGCGGGGGGGGGGGGGGGGTATTCGGGCAAGATTTTTGAAAAAGAATACCACATTTAAGAAAATGAGTATTTAAAATATTATTGTCGAACTCACCCTCGCCATCACTTTGAAAACATTTGATTTTACGATCCAACAGATTTTCAACTAAATTCTGAAAGTGACAAAAATGAGTAAAAACCTCTGATTTTCTGCGCATGGAATAAACCCAAGTGAAACGAGAAAAATCATCAATAAAACAAACATAATATTTAAACTGTAAATGAGAGAAAACAGGGGATTGCCAAACATCGGAGTGAATTAATTGTAAATGAGCAGTAACAGAATGTAAAGCATCTTGAAACGCCAATCTATGAGATTTGCCAAGTCTGCACGAAATGCATGAAAAATTGAAACTACTAGTATTATCAATTAAATTTGTGCGCCGCAAGGTAGACAAAACGCTATCGCCACAATGACCAAACCATTTGTGCCAAACTTGACCAGGTGCAGATGAGGTGAGTAAGGCAGGAGACACGCTGGGTGGGGTGAAGGGATAGATCTTATCTTTATGTGAAGCCCGAAGTAGGATTGCCCCCGTCTGATTGTCCTCAACATAAAAAACATTTTTGTCAAAAATAACAGTGCGATCATTATCCTCACATAACCGTTGTATAGAGAGTAAATTAAATTTAAGGTGAGGAACATGATATACAGATCGATTTTAAAGTAAGCGGGCGACCAACTGTAGGTAATACACTATCACCAATTTTAGACACTGGTAAGTTAGTTCCATTAGCCACCTGCACATTAATGGGGTTTGCAAGAGAAAACTTATGTAACAATATACCTTTTGTGGGTGTCATGTGCGCTGAGGCTCCAGAATCAGGATACCACACTGATTCGTTGTCGTCTCCTGTAGGCAAAGCAGCAAGAGCCGAAGTAGAGCCCGATGTAAACCTAGGACAAGTGAGGGCTGAATGGCCCGGAGAAAAGCACAACTGACACACAATAGGGGGCATTGGGGAATTATAGGAGGGATCAACTGATGAAGAACCTGCACCAAAAGTATTAATACGACAAGCAGAAGGTGTAAACAATTTATAATTTACGAGAGGGAGATTACAAATACTGTCATTAGAAAACCCAGAAGATGAATGTCCACACGCTGAATGTTGCTCGAAGCCACAGTGGGGAGGGTACTGGACGGGGTAACCTTGCTGCCCGTATTGAGGAAAATGACCATAATAAGCACCATGAGTGAACTTGCCACGACCCCTGCCCCATTGTCCCCTGTGGCGACTACCACGCGGGCCTCGTTCTCCCTGACGTTGCTGCACACCCCCTCGGCCAGAAGCTCCCTGAGGCAGCTGTCCGGAGGATTGAGACGGTCCAGTAGCCGCAAACGCTTGATGGGCAGATGAGGAGGCCTCCTGATCATGAAAGAACAATTGTCTCCTTTCTTGAGTTTCAAGAATTGGTGGAAGTGGATCAAAAGTGAGACCCCCCAGAATTGTGGTAATTGACGTGATCAACGCTTCATATTGTGGACCGAGACCAATGAGGGCATATTCAATGAGATCCCGATCACTAATTAGGGAAAGACTGCACCAATATCACAGTGCATACGAGGATACCGGCTGCGAAAGACGTGGTTCCCAGGACGAATATGGCGACATAAGAGGACTGCTGCATGTGACTGGTTGCTCGTGCGAAAGTGTAGGCGCCATGGTCGTCATCATCACGGTGACGTTGGAAGTAGACTGCACCGCCGCGGAAGAGGATGGCTGTGCATCAGCAGTGAATGTAGAGTCGGAAGTAGATGCTGCTGCCATAGGTAATTAGGGTTTAGAACCGTTTAGCGTCTGATACCATATGAGAATGTAATGTTTAGGGAATAATGGCTTAGCAAACTAGGTAGCCCCATGGTATATTTATACTAAAAGGATAATATGGAAAGTACAATAATGTTCTAAAATTAACCAGGCTATTACATCCCGGATGGGATTTCCGGATCTTATGACTCCTTTTGCTTGTGGGAATGTTATGATATTCCGGACTTTACATTTTTGGGGATGAATTTATTAGACATGTCTCAGAAAATGAAAAGAGAGTTCCCATCTCAACGGAAGAAGACCTTTGAGACTCATAATACTAATGAGGTTATTTGCCAAAAAAGCTCCATTGGTCACATGAGAAGTCTATTTGCCCACTCAAAATCGGAACACACAAAAGGAAATATACAAAAGAAGAATCAAGGCTCACATCTGGAGCCTAAGTTGCTTTTTGGGAGGTTTTATGGTTATTCTTTGGGTTGGGTTGTAGCTATTAGTTTGTTCTTTTAATTCCATTTTGCATTTATTGTCTTTCTATTCTCTGTCTTTACTTGTAACTTTTCTCATTTCTTTTTTTAATAAAGCTCTGTTTTTCCTACAAAAAAAAAAATTGAAGGTCCTTTTTTGTCTTTTGCTCGGTCGGGTTCCCAAGAACTCTCTACAACCAGCATTTTTATCATCACTAATCATATCACTGTTGAAATTCAATTGAGGGAAGAACTGAAAATAATGATTAAAATTAAACCAGCGGATGGGAGGCCAACGCCGATGCCGACGTCGGCGAGTTCCGCAACGATCGTGTCGTTCATATCCAAGGGTTTGAAGGAGATGCGTACCTCTGCCGATGCGGAATTTGAGCTCATCAGAATTAGAGCCAACTCTTTTTTTAATCTCGCCGACAGAGGGCTGGAACACTTCATCAACTCCACTTCGTTCACTGTCCCGACACTTACGTCCTCTGTTAGTACAACCCAGACAGAGATTGACTTCGTGAAAAAGCTCCGCCCGAAATTGTCGGAATTCCGAAGGGCTTACTCTTCTCCGGACTTCAAGTGGGGCACGAATGGGAAGCTTCGGATTAACTTGTCCGCTATTAGAAACGCGATAGTGTCGGAGGCCGAGGACAAGGATGGAAGTGTAAATTGGAGGACGTGGAGGAAGTTAAGGTTCACGGAAGGAGGGGTGACAGAGGAAGCACAGTCCTGTGAACTCAACTGGGAACCGATTAAGGGATTTAAGGCTTTCCAGGCGCGATGCAAGGAGATTGAGGCGGAGCTCAAGACCACAGGCCCTTCAACTGCGGAGATTTTTGAGGGGATTAAGAATAGTCAATTTGTGGGAAAAGTGAAATCAAGCCTGGTAATTTTTTTAACATTTGCTTCATACTATGGTAATCTAACATCTCATCAGTGACAATGCATTTTCCTTAACCAGAAGCCTATAAGTGCTGTTGGTCCGCTCTTCATATAATTTCACAAATTCCAGATTTTGTCAAAACTTTTGATAAAGCATGTAGCTTGGGTCCTCTGTAGCTTGATCAGCTTCAACACGCTTGTATTATTGCTGTATAGTTTATATGAGGGAATACAAACATGGAAACTTGAATTCATGTGATACTTGGGATTTATGGGTGCCTAAAAGCTGGATTCCTACAGTTCTCATTCTCTCTTTTAAGCTGTAGGCAAAACAGATATTATTGGGTTTGTAGGTGCCTTTGAAATGTTGTGATGTATTTATCTGAAAATTAATACTCCGTATTTTATAATGCAGTGAGATTCAAGTGATTAATATTCTTTATATTTTAATATTTTGCAGAAGTCAATTTGCAAGGAACCATCTGAAATAACGGTTTGTTTCTTATAACACACATTCATTAGTCTATGGGCACCTTACTACTACCTTAGTGCATCCAAAACCTTCAAAAGTTGTACCCCAGAAAATTCATTTGACGATCTATTTGAGTATTTGGTAATACAAGGTGAAAGAACAAGTATGTATCACGGCCATCACCTATCTGGTCTTTGATGGTATTGAATATAAACATGGTGAAATTCATAAGAATAATCCCTACTTTTAGGGATTCTACAATATTAATCCCTACTCACAGTGTCGACATAAATAATCCGAACTAGCAATGATGTTCATAAGAATAAATTGGGGTGAATTCAAATTAAAGTCCGATTAATATTTTCAACCCTTACTTCCACTTTTCTCTTCCCCATTCTTCTTCTCGAGGCAAATTCAAACTAAAATCCGTTTAATCTTAATACTATTTCCGTCATATATTGTTTTCTCTAGGTTGAAACATAAAAGTGTTATCCGAGATGAAGAGTGGTGAAGGGGAAAATGGAAGTAAGGGTTGGGAGTACTAAATGGACATTAGTTTCAAATTTGAAATCACTCTAATTTATTCTTGCGGATACTATTGCAAGTACGGATTATTTTTATGGACACTCTCGGTAGGTATTATTATTGTAGAACCATAAAAGTAGGGATTATTATTGTGAATTTCGCATATAAATATATACCTGTAGCCAACATAATCTCTTTATCTTGTAAAGGATAACAACTGTAAAATGTGCAACAGGTGAGGACACGGTCCTCCACAATTTGGTGCTTGTTTGGCCCAAGCAGATAATGCAAAATATACATTTTCATAACTATTTAAAATGGGTATGGAATATGGAATGAATCAAGCTCCATTAAAGTCAATTCACTCGAATATAAGGTTTAGAGAGTGTTTGCAAGTGATTAAAAAAGCGATTTTCAGCTTCTGGCTTAAAAAAAGCCGAAATGAGTGTTTTCAAATGACAGTTTCTACTTAAATTAAGCACTTAAAAGCTAAAAACTGAAAGCATGTTGAGAGGTGCTTTAAAGTGCTTTTCTCTTTTTCTATTACACAAAAATCACTTATTTTATCAAACACTACTACTTTTACTTTTTTGAGTTTTTCTCAAATACTACTAACTTTTACCACTAAGCGCTTTCTCGAAAATCACTTTTTTAATGTAGAAGCAATCGCAAACACTCCCTTAATTGCCCTATCAAAAAGCGGTAAATATTACTCCCTCCGTATCTAATTAATTGACCCATTTTCTTTTTTACGTAGTTTAAGATGATTACTGTAGATTTTATGAAAAGTAAGAGGTTTTGGTACTATAGCGGTACTGAAGCAGTACTGTAGCGGTAATGTAGCTGCTTTTTGGGTGGATTTCTTTCCAAAAAGGGAAATGGGACAATTAATTTGATACGTCCCAAAAAGGAAACTGGGACAACTAAATAGATATGGAGGGAGTATATTTTTTCGCTAAAGTTAATTGCAGCAAACTAATTTCTCCTTACCATGGAGTGTTTATCATGCAGGAAGTGCGATCATCGGATGTGCCCGATATATTGGCATATTTTGTTAGACAGTCCAGCCCATTCTTGGACCAGCTTGGAATTAGAAGAGGTTCGCTTTTTCTCCTTGATGTGAGCCTTTTTTTACTTTGATTTGGGTCATGTTCCTTTTCTTTGTTATGGAAACACTCTTTGAGACGCAAAGATGGCAGTCTTGCAGTCTTGCTATATACTATCCTCCGTTCTTTAATTCTTGCAACAGTTTGACTTTCACGTTTGCCAACACACAACTTTGACTGTAATTATATTTAATTATGTATTAGTAAACATTATAAAAATTTGATATTTTGTAAATTCACATTGATAGGAATTTAATAACATTTTATACGTAATAATTTGATTATGTATATTAGTAGAAAATCGTGGTCAAATTAAGATCTGTGAATAGTGCAAAAATCAAAATGTTGCAAGAATTAAAGAACGGAGGAAGTATGTTTTATCATATCAGGATTTGATTTTTGAAAGCATATATTTGTTGTGGTTGTTCTTTAGATAATCATGGTTTACTCCTAGATTTGCACATGAAGTGCTAGGTTTAATTAGAATTTCTCGATTTCCAAAGCATAGTTGTTGATCACTGTGGCTTCATTTTTAGGCATGCATGTAGACCCAAATTTGCATTAGAACTGCATATAGTCTAGGGTTATGTTAGGAAAGTTTTCTCTTGTGTTAGGTTTTATGTGGGAAATGCAAAGAAAAGTGTCATATGATTAATGGTTGAACAGATGTCAATTATTTTACAAATAAATAAATAGAATGAGCTTGAACATATATCAAAAATAATTTTATTGAGTTTGAAACATTGTTTCATCCCCCCCACATATTCAGTTCCTTCCAGAGTTGCCATTTTTTTGTATTATTACATTGACTGTATTTTCCTAGCAGTTTGAGTTCCAAATAAACCCAGAAGGTATAGTTTGTTAACATTAAGCACATTGCTTACATTGCTTTGGTTTGGTGAGAGAAAACAGATATGGTGGTCTTGCTATGTGATTTTTGATATCGGGATCTGTTCTTCTTATTTAAAGCATTTTGTTGTTGTAGTTGTTGTTGCCGTTGTACTATAGCCTATAGGTAATCATAATTTACTCTGACGTTGGCATATGTAGTGCTAGGTATAATTATGATTTCTCTATTTTCAAAGCATATTTGTTGAGAATTGTGCCTGCATTACTTTTGGTCTGCAACTCTGCATGGAGACCCATAATTTGCAATAGATGTAGATATGGCCTATGGGTTATGTTTGCATACCTAGAAATGCAAGGAAAAGAAGGAATAAACCTGCTTAGGAAAGTTACTTTCTTGTGTTCAGCTTTATGTTGGGAAATGAAAAGGAAAGTGTAATATGATTCGTGGTTGAACATATATCAATTTTTATACAAGTAAATAAATAAAATGAGTTTAACAGTTATTGAAATAAATTATTGAGTTTGAGTAAGTGTTTCATCCCCCATCTTTATTTCCTTCCAAATTTACCTGTATTTTCTTTTAATTTTTCTCACTAACATTTTCAAGTTCCAACGAACCCATAAGGTGTAGTGTGTCAGCATTGAGAACATTTCTCAGATTGCTTTTGTTTGGTAACAGAAACATCAGAAAAGATGGTCGATAGTTTGTGCAATAAACGAAAGAACCAGATTTTAAGGTCGTCTTCAACCGAAGGAGAGTCCTCCATTGTTGAAGGGGGTAATATTATGGACGACCTAGATCTAAGAATTGCCACTGTTGTACAAAGTACAGGTCATAGTAACGAAGGGGACAGTTTGACTGATCCAACAAAAAAGAACCATCCCAATGGTAAAAGGCATGTAGCCATTGTCACAACGGCTAGCCTTCCTTGGATGACGGGAACAGCTGTGAACCCGCTATTCCGAGCTGCTTATTTGGCCAACTCAGCAAAGCAGAACGTCACATTGTTGGTTCCTTGGCTTTGTAAGTCTGACCAAGAGCTTGTGTATCCAAACAATCTCACATTTAGCTCTCCTGAAGAGCATGGGCATTATATACGCAACTGGGTTGAGGAGAGGGTGGGTTTTAAGACCGATTTCAAGATCTCATTTTATCCTGGAAAGGTAAGACTATCTAAAATTTCCTACATTGCACCGTTTTAAGACATGATTCAGGTGAATGTTTGACTTTATTTATTTTTCTTATAATAAAGTTCTCAAAAGAAAGGAGAAGCATAATACCTGCTGGAGATACTTCTCAGTTCATCCCATCAAGGGATGCTGATATTGCAATATTGGAGGAGCCAGAACACCTCAACTGGTACCATCATGGTAAACGCTGGACTGATAAATTTAACCATGTTGTCGGCATTGTTCACACAAATTATTTGGAGTATATCAAGAGAGAGAAGAATGGGGCTCTTCAAGCATTCTTTGTTAAGCATATAAATAATTGGGTAACTAGAGCGTATTGCCACAAGGTACTGTTCTAACCCTCATACTTTTTGGTGAATTCCAATCCATAGAGCTTATCTCTTAAGAACAAATGTGCTCAATCCTCTAAAACGTTCATTTAAAATGTAAATTAAAATGTAATAAAATAAAGAACATATTTTATATTAAAATAAAATAAAGAACATATCATTTTCATTCATTTCAGCAAATCAGTCCCAAAAGAGCAATTTCTGCACCAAGTACTATTATTATTAGCTGCTTCGGCCAACACAACACTTTGATAAGTTAAATGAATTGGTGTTTTGTGAAAAGTCTAAGCCGAAAGTGCCTACCCAACGGACTCTTAATTTCATCACAACTCCTGAATAGTGATATTTCTTAATCATGGAGAATGACTTTTTCCTGTTGCCAAATAGGTCCTTCGCCTTTCTGCTGCTACACAAGACTTGCCAAAATCTACTATATGCAATGTACATGGTGTCAACCCTAAATTTCTTAAAATTGGAGAAAAAGTTGCTGCAGACCGTGAACATGGAGAGAAAGTATTTTCAAAAGGAGCATATTTCTTAGGCAAGATGGTTTGGGCAAAAGGGTACCGAGAATTGATTGATCTCTTGTCGAAGCACAAAAAGGATCTAGAAGGGTTCAACTTGGATGCTTTTGGCAACGGGGAAGATGCTCATGAAGTTCAGAGTGCTGCCAAACGGTTGAATTTAAATGTCAACTTCATGAAAGGCAGAGATCATGCTGATGATTCTCTTTTTGGGTAAGATTACTGCAATACTATATTGAGATTTCTTTACTGTGTTGTTGGATATAGTACAATGATAGCTCTATAGACATACCCAGCTTATCATAAACTTGTCTGCACAAATTGAAAGAAGATGATTTGATTTAATGAATGGAGCTTGTTTGGGAAGGGTAAAATTGGCTCAAATGACTGCATTTTCTATCTAAAAATGTTGTAGAAATACATATATGCAAATAATATCTATAGGGTAGATAAAAGTGTTAGTTACTTTCATTTCATCCATTTCATTAAAAAACTGATTTCATCCCTCAACTCTACATTATTACTCAATTGAATCCTCAACATTATTGGACTTGGTTTGGCCATGAACAATGAATTTTGGATTAAAATCAATGTCTGAAATTCCGTATTACGTAAATGAGGTGTTTTTGAGGTATTGTGTATTGCGTAAGCCTCGTGGCAGATTGAGGTGTAAGTCTTAATATGTAAGGAAATTGTGTATAATATAGAAGTAACCAGAAATAAATATTAATCCAAAAATACATTTCATAAAGAAACCAACAATAATGTCATAAAGTATTGAAACCGTGGTGATGTTTAAATCTACTAATCCCTCATGTCGTTTGCTTATTGCAATATTTTCATCTAACATACTTGTATGATTTCCCTTTAGTCCCACTTCTTTTACTTTGAACCTGTGTTCCAAGCCAAGTCAAACTTACCCATGGTAAACAAATTGTACCTACTGCAAGAACATCTAATTTTGCAAATGGTATGAAAAGTATACAATTAATATTTAGCAATATAAAATTTCTAATACTCTGTATATAAGTAAATTTAGCAAAATAGGCAACTAAATTATACTACGTAGTAAAATGATTTGAACATCATAAATGCAAATTATTGATAGCAATATACGATTGTATAATTTAATGTTGCAAATTTAATTATATATGCTTTATATAATCAAATTTCTATGAAAAATATAACTTACGACATACCAAGAATTTATATTTACAATATTAATTTTATATACTTTTTATAATTAAATTTCTACGAAATAAAAAACGTTTACAAATTTACCAATAGCCCTGAAAATCAACATGGCGGGTGAAATGCAAAGGAAAATGTCAATTAAATACAAGCCAATAAAAATCTTGATGATTTCTAGTTAATTAAAAAACTGAAGAAATCCAGAGTATTAAACTTACGACACCTTGCGGGGGAGGTGCAACCTTGCTAGTTTAGTTGTGGAAGAACAAGTCGGAATGGAGAAGCGACTCAATGGCCGGAGGTTACTTGACTCTTGCAGACGACGAGAGGTAGAGGCAAGAGGCTAGCAGGAGAAAGGCGTCCAAGCAAATGAATCGATGAGATAAGTGTTATCAATTACTCATGTAGTCGTATGAGCTATTGGCCCAATTATTTCATATAATCGGCTTCCTTCTATTGCGCACGTTTAAGCTGCGCTTTATTGCGTATGCCTCACTCTAAAGGCATGGCTTTGCTATGGTGTCAAACGAGATACGCCCTACATCGTATATACCCTGGAAATTGATAAGGCGCGCCTCTAGGCGTGTTCCTATCGCGCAATTTTGAACATTCATTAAAATAGGTGTTCTTTTGTCTGTTCACTAAATTTAGACCCAATTGTTTGTCTTTAGTGTGCAAGCATACCCTTCTTAGTTAGAGCTCACTATGCTTGAGGACTAACAGTGCCTAAAATGCATAGTGGATGACAAAATCGAGTCCAATGGAAAGTTGGGTACCAAACTTAGTAATAATGAATAGTTGTGGGACCAAATTGGATATTAACTCTAGAAAAAGCAACTTTTTTACTCCCTCTGTCCCAAAATGATAGTCCTGTATTTCCTTTTGGGGATGTCCCAAAATGATGGTCTTGTTTCCCCTTTTGGAAAGAAAGATGTGGTCCATATCATTTCACTTTATTATACTCAAATCTCAACCACAACTTTTACCTTTTCAACTACTTTATTAAAATTTGTGCCCAAAAGAAATGAGACTATCAAATTGGGACGGAGGGAGTACTATTTTTATTGTCAGCTGATTCAGGCCACATTATCAACTATGTATACGTGGACGTAGATTTAGTCCTCATCGTGCAAAAATACCTTTCTCCGTTAGAGCAAAATATGCATGAATTAAGTCCAACGAGGGATGAAACCGGGTTGATTTTAAAGAAGTAACTTTTTTATCATCAGATACAGCAGCAGGCAGTGCAGTCAATCAAGTAAAATGAAGCTACCAAAACATGCACTATGATTTTTTTGTTCCATGATTAGGAGTCATAATAGTGAGATATCATTTATTCATTTTGCTTAAGTGCTTTATTGTCCTGTTCTGATAATTAAGACATTATTATTATGGTCACAGTTACAAGGTGTTTATAAACCCCAGCATAAGTGACGTGCTATGTACTGCAACAGCCGAGGCTCTTGCAATGGGCAAATTCGTAGTGTGCGCGGACCACCCATCAAATGAGTTCTTCAGGTCATTCCCCAACTGCCTGACGTACAAATCCCCAGAAGAGTTTGTAGCCAAAGTCAGAGAAGCAATGTCACGCGAGCCTCTCCCTCTCACTGCCGAGCAAAGGTATGAGCTCTCATGGGAGGCCGCCACTCAAAGATTCTTAGAATGTTCTGACCTTGAAAGGGTTTTGAATAGCAGTGGGAAGAAGAAAGGGGGAATTGTGAAATCAATTTCAATGCCCAATCTTGGAGATATGGTTGATGGCAGCTTGGCCTTTGCCCATTATTGTCTCACCGGGAGCGAGCTTTTGAGGTTGTGTACCGGCGCTATTCCTAATTCTCTTGACTATAGCAAAGAACATTGTAAAGATCTGAACATTCCTCATCGTCAAGTGGAGAACCCAGTGTATGGGTGGTAAGTATAGGTGTATAAGATAGATACTTGAGAGAGAGGGTTGCAAGTATAGGTGGTTTTTGTTTCTCTTGTTGCTGGGTTGCATGGTATATTCGCGTGTGTAATATATACCTATTTTTAAATGAAGCGCATTGTTACAGGTTCTTGTTGACACTCTTCTATAGTTCTATGTAATGAGCTGCGCAGTTTAGGAAATGAAAACCGCATATATGATAATCAAATGCTGTTGCCAGTATAACATAGGGGGGGGGGGGGGGGGGGGGGGGCTGGGACGGGTCGGCCTGAACCGGGACCCAGCCCAACCTGCTACTGTGCAGGTCCGACCCGGTCCGGTTGACCAAAACCAAGCCCGGGCCCGACCCGGATGAAGGAGCAGGCGGTACTGGGCCTTGATTTTAGTGGCCTGGGCCTAAAGGCCGAGAATTCCCCAAAAAATTGGACCTGTAATTGTTTGGCCCAACCTGACCCAGTCCCGTCCCAAAGCTTGCCCAGTTTAGTGGTGGACTCGGTTCGGGCTGGGCCCGGTTCGGGCCTTGAACCGGCCGGGCCTCGGTTCACGGAAGGCAGGCCCGGAACCGGCCCGGATAACCCCGGTTCCGGTTCGGTTCGGGTCACCCGCCCGGTTCACGGGCCGGGCCGCCTGCCGGGCCAGGCCTTTTAATTTTTTTTATTATATATTATATTATTAGAATAATTCTTATTACAATTACAATATATTATATTCTAATTCAAGTATATTTATTTCAAATAAGAAGTACAATTGAGAATTAGGATGAATTTAAAAAATGTAATACATTTTGTAATAAAAAATCAATCGGAATCTCCGCCTTCGGTTGTTTCCTCCATAAAGTGGCGGGTGGGAGCGATGGTAATTTCTTGAGTTCTTCGTTGGGCCTTCAACCAATCGTGAAAGCAAACTAGTGTCTCAAGAGAGCTCGGGCTCAACCTCGTTCTATAATCGGTTAGGACGTTGCTGGCCGCACTAAATTCTTGTTCCACGGCAACGGTTGATATCGGCATTGCTAGCACTTGCTTAGCCATCTTTGATAAAATCGGGAACGTTCTTTCATTTTCCTTCCACCACTTAGAACGTCAAAGTCATCACCAACTTCATAATCAACATTCAATGTTAGATACAAAGAAAGCTCGTTACCTGAGCTTTGTTCAGTAGCGGGAGTTGCTCTACTTTTTTCAAAAGAGAATCAAAAGCGGATTTTAAAAGTGATTTTCCTTTAGATGAAGAAGATGTTCGTTGCATGGGAGGTGGTGCATTACCATATTGTGCATGAAATTCATTATACAATTGATGAAATAAATTACTAACCTCGTTGAATTCTTGTTTAGGGTCGATGAGATTATCATCGAACTCTTGAGTTGGAAAAAAAGAAGCATAATAGTAATCTATACAATTTGCCAAGTAAGAAAGTTTATAACAAGGATCAAGAACAAATGCAATACCATATGTATGCGGAATATGTGAATAATATTTTAAAAACTTTTGTTTCGTGAAATCACAAAATAACTAACGTAAGTGGCTTCGGAAAATTCACAAAAAGCGCCGGCGAGATTAACAGCTTCAACAAAAAATTCGTTTGCGGTAGGTTTATAAACATGACTAAAAGTTAGAGTTGCGTTATTAAAATATGCCAAAACATTATCAATTTTTTCACAAGTGTCGATGTCAGCCGGGTTTATAATATAGTTACAAGTTTGTCTTAAAAAAGCTGGAAAATGATCTTTATATCTAATAAGTACTTGAATTAAATTATAAGTACTATTTCAACGAATAGACAAATCTTTAGGAAAAGCACAATAATTGACACGCCTATTTTCCCTTGCCTTTGTCTATTTATACCTAATAAGTATTTGAATTAAATTATAAGTACTATTCCCCTTGCCTTTGTCTATTTTCGCATACTCCACAAAGTGGGCGGACTGAAGATGCCTTTTGAGACTCCCGTATCCGTCAGAAGTTCCCAAGCTAAACTCTTTCTTGCAATGATTGCAACTTGCGTACCATTTTTCGGTATTTTCGTCTTTCCTTTTTGTATAATTGTTTTCAATAATAGGATATTTAGATTTCTTACCAATTTGGGTTGTAGTCGTTGAACGGCCCTCGTCCTCCAACTCTTGCTCATCATCCAGGGTGCCGTGAGTCCCGTCGCCCCCCGCGTCCTCCTCCGCATCGTCATCCTCGAGCTCCTCTTCATCGATGGTTGTCGGGAATTGTTGTTCTTGTGCAAAGCGTGGATCATTTTGGGACAATAGGTGTTGTAGTTGCTCGTCGGACATCATCATATCATCTCGCCGTTGGTAATCCGTTTCAAAATCATCTCAACTTTGAAAAGAAGACTCGGCCCGCGCTTTACCTTTGCCTTTGCGTGAAGTAGAAAGAGTCGATGCAATCTCCCTCTTGCGGTTGCATTGGAGATTACCCACATCTACAGAATGTCTACCACGCTCCATCTTTAAAATTGAACAAATATTAGCAATTAACTAATATGAGAAATGTAAAAATGTAGCAATTAACTAATATGAGAAATGTGACACCGTCCCCAAGCATGTTTACTTTTAGTAAATTATGTAATAAACCTTGAAGGATGATATATGAATTTACGTAATTGTTAAATTTTATTATTTCTTTTACGTGAATAGTAAATTGCATGTGGGGCCCACAGCGGGAACGGGGACCGCCCGATAATTCCAGAACCACATATTATATTCATCTTGGTCTAGATGACATCTATATGGTGGTGGATATTTTATTTGGGCCATAGGAAAGGCATGGAGTTGACCGGTTGGTCAAACGGGGCCCAATTACCGGTATTGGTAATTTAGCGGTTAACAGCCCGAAGTGAGTTTCGGAGACTCCTAAATTAATGTTGGGGAATGTACATCTATTCTAAAGTCCCATAAGTATTAGGAACGCGTGATACATTTTATTTGGCCCGATAAAATAAAATATAATTAAAACGGGCCGAGAAATACAACTTTCGGGGCCGATTGTACACACCGGGACATAATGGGATGACCTCCCACATAAGTGGGGGCCACCCCACGTTTTTATGGGTGCTGATTGACCAAGTAATAGGGGAGGGGGAGCAACCAAATGTGCTTGTACGCACAAGGGAGGGGGAGGAAGTCTCCTAGAGACAAGGATTACACCCTCATGACCCCATCACCCAAAAATCATGTGGGTTGAATGGATAGGTGATACCCCCTATGCTAGCACCATTCGGACCATTCGTTATAGGAGAACTCCAGGAGGATAACTCTCAAAAACAAGGAACCCAGAGGAAGATTCAGGGGAGGTTTTCCAAGAAGAAAAGAATTGTTATTGAGGTAAGAACTCAACAAACAATCTTTTAACTAGTTTTTGTATTTGATATTTTTAAGAGATCATAGGCTGGATTAAACATGATGTTCTACACGTTTAGAAGTGTAGAATATTGATATATAGTGGTGTTATTTAACTTAGAATAGTTGGTGAATCGACAGGAGTCGAAATCGCCGGAAACCGCCACTCCAAAGGAGCTGTTCGTAGTTACAGACTACGAAAGCCGCCCGGCTTTCGTGAAAGGCGCCCGGCTTTTGCCCAGCAGTCCACTTTTCCGTTTTCATTCAGCCTAGAACGGGGATTGATTGAAGAGCTTAACAAAGGCAACTATTTCAGCACATCATAAGGTGAGGATGGCTGACTATATTGCTTATAATTAGTGAGTTAATTTCATAAGATTTCCTAAGGTATTAAAAGTGATTTTCATGGGTTATTAATGAGTAATAATGCTTAAAGGAAAATACTATTGATATGAGTAAAAGAAGCATGATATACAAATTTGGAATAAATTGTGTATGATTATGTGGCATGAAAGGAATGACATGATAATGGAATTAACTATGTAAATATTGTGATAAAATATACTTTTACTTCATGTATGAAATTCATGAATGGATAAAAGTGATATTTTTGATATTGGGATCAAATTATATTTGGATTGGAAAATCAATTGAAAAGAAATGTCAATTTGAATTAAGAACTTGATATGTTCTAAGACTAACCTACTAGTATTAAAATACTAGTCGGGAGAATAATATAATGGAATTAATCCTAAGGGATAGGATGATGAATAGATTTACCTTAAGTAGTCTTAAGAGATACTTTAAGGTTGAATTGTATGAACACTAAGGTGTGTTAGTGTTGGAGATATTTTATTGTGAATCAAGTTGGTCATAGATTAGCTTTATATTTAATCCTTGTATTTAAATAGTGCATAAATTAGATAGAAATCAGGCCAAGTGTTAGGCCCATTTAAACAGGCCAAAAGCCTGTTTCGCCTAACCTAAACCTCGCCTATAAAAAGGAAGCCGAGGTTTAGGAAAAGGTTGAACGTCGTACTTATTATTCACAGCCTTACGCTTATATCATTCTGCTGTACGTTCCACGGTTTATCAAAGAAGGTTTTACGGTGATTCATTCTGGGTTCATCTTTACGTTTAATCTTACTTGTTAGATCGATTATTCATTGCTGTTACAGAAACAGGGACTAACAATTGGTATCAGAGCCGATCGAGAACGATCAGAAGAACTCCTGCAGAATACTCTGTTTTTGTTTACGTAGTTCATTCTGTCGATTTTTTGCTCTGTAATTTTGTTTCTTGTTCAAAAGTTGTAAAAGTTACACCTTTGGAATCGCCTTTTCAAAGCGATCAAAGGGTATACTTCAGTTTGTGTTTTACGCATTTTTATTTTCGAGATATCTCGAGCTAGGCATCTCGACATCCTAGTTCTTCACAGGTTCTGCTACGTTTTTCGAGCTGAAAACTTTACCAGAAGATCTCGACATTCAACTCTACAGGAAACTATCTTCAGATTTTGATTATCTGATTTTTACAGGTTGAAAGATTTCGACATTAAGGATTTCGACATCTAGGATTTCGAAATCTTGATTTCGAGAAAAGGTTTCGACATCTGGTCTCGACATTTGACTCATCGGATTAAGATTTCGAGATATTAACTTCTCGACATTTCAAATCTCGAGATCAGCATCTCGAAATTTGAAATCTCGAGATCCCAAATCTCGAGATCCTTAGTCTCGAGTCCAAATCTCGATACCGGGCCTCCTTTATCGAAATCTGAGATTTCGATATTCAGATCTCGACATCTGATTTTTCGAGATTCTGCCTCTGAAAATCTTTTGATCAATTTTCTCGAACGATCAGTTTAGT